CAGATGTGGTCTCCTCACCTCAAAAAAGATATTTTGGCCTTGGAAAGAGTTCAGAAAAGGGCAACTAAAATGATTAGGGGTTTGGAGCGGGTCCCATATGAGGAGAGATTAAAGCGACTGAGACTTTTCAGTTTAGAAAAGAGGAGACTGAGGGGGGATGTGATAGAGGTCTATAAAATCATGAGAGGTGTGGAGAGCGCCGATAAAGAAAAGTTATTTATTAGTTCCCACAATAGAAGAACTAGAGGACACCAAATGAAATTAATGGGGAGCAGGTTTAAAACTAATAAAAGGAAGTTCTTCTTCACACAGCGTGTTGTCAACCTGTGGAACTCCTTGCCAGAGGAGGCTGTGAAGGCTAGGACTATAATAGAGTTTAAAGAGAAACTGGATAAATTCATGGAGGTTAGGTCCATAAAAGGCTATTAGCCAGGGGATAAAATGGTGTCCTTGGCCTCTGCTTGTCAGAGGCTGGAGAGAGACTGCAGGAGACAAATCACTTGATCATTGTCTTTGGTCCACCCTCTCTGGGGCACCTGGTGCTGGCCACTGTCGGCAGACAGGCTACTGGGCTAGAAGGACCTTTGGTCTTACCCAGTACGGCCGTTCTTATGGTCTTATGACATGACGAAGGGAACATCGAGCCCATTGAAAGTCTGAAAATGTAACACTGATAAAAGGAAGTTTTTGCACATAGTCTGTATGTCTCCTTGCCACAGACACTATGTGAGCAAAGAGCTTACTCTAGTGACGTTCACAAGTGCAGTAGTCATTGTAGATGGTGTTAGTGACACCACCTTTAGTTAAAGCGGTGACGTCTTTTATAAGAACTCATTTTCTATTGCTTATAAGTTTGCCAAACTGTGTTTTTCCACGTCTGGTGTCTGTTTCAAGCTGAACTGTTTTTTGACCCTTCAGAGGAGTGGCCGACTTAGTCTGTTACTGGAAAATCATTGTTTGAACATTTTTGACGTACCAGCAGCAAGACAAGATATTTGGCCCACATTGAAACATTCTTGTCATTGTTCCCTAGAGGAGCCTTAGCACCTCCATGCTTCACAGCAGGCGAAAGTCATGTGACTGTTAACAGCCAAAGCCTTCAATGTACAGAGGAGGAGGTGACAGACTCTGTGTATTGATACACAGATGGCTCCTGAAGCCTTTCCTTGAGTTCTTTCACCTACGAAAATTTTGCCTCAATGGATTCTGAGGAATGTATGAGCAACAGATTCAAAACGTGGCCTTCGATTGCATCTCATGTGCCACTGAAATGCAGCCACCTCAGGTCTGGCATCCACCAGCTGGGGGCGAGGGAGAGACATAACAAACAGGGACGTTTTGGCTCATGATCCCGCCGCAAACTCATCAGACATTGAAAGGAAGCTGTGGTGTTTAATGGGTATATGATGCAGAAAGGAAAACAGACCTCATTTCTGTCCCATCACACCCGTGTTGCACTGGGTATGTTGAGTTGGTGAGCCCCTCAGCAAGAGATGGGTACCGGTGAATTCTGAGAGGGAAGCATCTTACCTGGGAACCCCCATCAGTCAGTTGTATCCCGCACCTGTCTCGCTCCAGCATTTACAGCAACAACCCACGCCGAGACCCAACACAGGCGTTTGCACAATTTATAATACAGCTCTGTGCAATCCTAGAGGGAGAAGCAGCCTTTGGATGTAAATAGGCTGTGGAGAAACCTATCGGTGGTAATGCAGCTTTAAGAGTAAACAGTAATTAATTCTCCAAAGGGAGAAGAGCTCTCTTTGGTTCCCGGCTGAGTCAGAGAGGAAGTGGCTACTTTGTGTGGTTAATTGGTAAGTAAACAAGGGATAATGTCTTAATCTCCACAGGTTGGATTCCCTGTGAATGCCCAGTGCGGCTGCGTAGAGGATAGACAGAGAGATCTGGAGAAAGATGACAGAGGGAAAACATGAGCACTGTCTGCAGACACGGGAGATGTTACTGTGGAAGCTGAGATCAATAATTGTCATCAATAACTATCATCATGTTGGGCTGCCCTTATATTCAAGCAGCTGCAAAAACACAGCAAATGGAAGACATTATGAACCTATCTCCACAATTCATAAAATGGAGGCACCAGGAGACATGTGTTAGTCAGGGTCACACAGAGATTGGCAGAGAGAAACCAAGAGTATTGACTTCCCTGCCACAACCAGTGTCTCTCTGTCAGTAAGGCATGTCTACACTAGCGAGTTATTTTGAAGGGTAGTGTCCACACTACCAAGCCTGTTATTTTGAAATTATTTCAAAATAACAGGCTTGTTATTTTCAAAAAATAACCCCAGAATTTATGAGGAATAATGCCTATTTGGAAACTGCTAGTTCAAAATAGGGTTAGTGTGGACGCTCAGCTGCTTTGTTGAAAGAACTACTCCCCAAAGTCATTCAAAGCAATTACACCTCAGAGCTTCCTGAGGCTCTAAGTCGAGGTAGTGCATCCACATTAAGGGAGTCTGCCTCTGACTAATTTTGAGTTTTCCCTGTAGTATGGACGTGCTATTTGGAAATATTTTGGGAATTATTATTTCAAATTTAGTTATTTAGCTATTTCTAGGCTGCCTCCCTCTGTCGAGAGAGAGATGTAGATTAGGCAGATCAAAATAGCTAATGAAGCCAGAATTTAAATATCCCTCACCTCATTAGCATAAACATGGCTGCCACTTTTTTTGAGGAATACCTAATTTTTTGAGGAATACAGGCTTTGTTGAAAAAGGGTTTATTTTTGACAGCTTCGCGTCTAGACTGCTGGGTTTTTTTTCGAAAAAACACCGTTTAAAAAAAAAAGTGGCGGCCGTGTTTATGCTAATGAGGTGCGGGATATTTAAATCCCGGCTTCATTATCAATTTTGATGTGCCTAATCTACATCTGTCTGTCGACAGAGGGATGCAGTCTAGATGTAGCTCTAGTGTAGAAATGCCCTAACTGAGAGTTAGGTGAGAGAAGGGCTATGTCTAGACTGCAGGCTTCTTTCGAAAGAGGCTCTTTCGAAAGCATCTTTCGAAAGAGCCTCTTTCGAAAGATCGCGTCTAGACTGCAGGCGGATCTTTCGAAAGAGAAATCCGCTTTTTCGAAAGAGAGCACCCAGCGAGTCTGTAAGCTCTCTTTCGAAGACGGCCTCTTTACATTGAAGAACGCCTTCTTTCGAAAGAGGAACTTTCAAAGGAAGGCGTTCTTCCTCGTGAAACGAGGTTTACCGCCATCGAAAGAAAAGCCGCGTTCTTTCGAAATAATTTCGAAAGAACGCGGCTTGAGTCTGGACGCAGGGGAAGTTTTTTCCCGAAAAAAACCCTGAGTCTGGACACGGCCAAGGTGAGAGAAGGAGCCAAAACCATACAGGCAAAGATAAGACTATACTTTAAAATTTCAAAACCAACTGGTGTCCCTTAAATGATTTGTAATATGATGTTAGAACATGATAACATTAGATCTGAGCGCGTCTAATATTTATTTAAAAATTATTTCTTTGATATAGGAGTTAGATACTGTGCTCCTGTCAGCTAATTGCTGGCTTATGTGCCACAAAACTTAAGCTTTCAACAATATAAGTAGACAATGGATACAAATCATAACAACCAGCAAAAATCTGAAATAACTGTCTTGGAGGTAGCTGGATATGTTGATTATTTAAATCGCGGCTCCATTTCCCTCTGCCGATCTGTCTAATCTACATGCTTCTGTCGACAGAGGCATGTAGTCTAGACACACCCGAGGGGAAGAAGGGAACAAGTGACAGAAGGAGAAGAGGCAGAGTGGGGTTAGGCCTTTGTAGAAGAGATATGACAGAGGGTGAGGCCTTAGGGGTTCAGTTAAAAGCAAAAAAAGGTGACAACTCAATGAGCTGTGCATACACCGGTTTATCACACAGGCACAGCAATGTCAGGAAAGGGCCCAGTGTCTGTCTGACTGTCCAGTCAGTGATTCAAGAAAGAGGACCCAGCACCTTGTCACTTGTGAGTTCCACATGGAATTTGGTCGAAGTGTTACCTGCACAAATTTCCTTGAACCTTCCACACTTTAGGGACACTCACCCTTACCCAATTCCTAGGACTCAGGGTGTAACTTCCTTAGGGTCTGATGGAGCTTTTGCCACTGAAAGAGCCTCACACAGTAATATTCTTATTCTCTATTTATTGACAATTACCAAGCAAGCAGAATACACATGCTAAGTATACAGTGTCATGCTCACCAAGCCTGATAAAGGCAGGCAGACTCCCCTTGTTGTCCAGGCAAGATCAGTCTCTCGGGATCTTAGCTACTGCACATCACGGTCGTGCAGAGGAGTCCTGGCAGCTCTGGTCTTAGGCTGTCTTTTGGAGTTCTTCCAGATCTTCCTTCCTCCTTCTTGCTGTTCCTTTCTTCCTTTCCTCTTTTCCTTCCTCTTTCCCCTTTTTTCCCTCTTGGTCTCTTTCTTGGATCCCAATTTATATAGTGAAACTTCAGTCCTGCATAGCTATACTTTGACCAATTACTTTAGTATAATTTTACTAACCAATCATAACATACTCTAACAGAATTACTTAACCAATCCTACTCCATCACCTTAGTTGATTTACATCTGGCAAAATTAATTATACAGCAGATGGAAACAGTTCCAAACCAGGCAGATACCACACAGACAAACAATACGAAAGTGAGGACCAGAATCATAGAATGAGGATTCCACGACCTTAGCTATGGACAAACAGTTTCTTGCCAGACGAAATGTTAACTAAGTTTTCTTCACCCATCTTGAGATCTGTTTCTTTATCTGGTGACAGTGGGGGCCATTAGGACAGGATCTCCTTCTTAACAGCCTGGTACGACACTATTTTAATGCAGTTTAGACAGAATGTGAGAATGGGACTCCAAGCTTTACAGCGAATGGCTGTTGCTCTTCTGTCTGGCTGCAGAGGAAGACTTTAATATGGCTACAAGCCTTCCAATATGGCTACAGAAAAACCATATTGTTACAAGAGAGTGAATGCACCAAGAGAAACCTTTAGATCTTTTTATGAGTAAAGACCCAGAGCAACCTGTCCTGGATTTGCTTGGTCCTCACTCCATAGATGATGGGGTGCAGCATAGAGGGCACCACAAGGTGCACGTTAGCAATGAGAATGAGGGCATGGGGGGGCACAATATAGTCAAACCGATGAATGACGGAGGACACGACATCTGGGATGAAAAAGACTAAGATGGCACAGAGTTGGGTGCTGCAGGTCCCAAATGTTTTGCGCCGGGCTTCCGTTGTGTGGAGGCTGAAAATTGCCCTAAGGATCTGGGTATAAGACGCTGAGATAAAACACATATCCACACAGGCCACAAAGAGTATCATAAACAGGCTGTAGTAATTACTGACACGGATGTCGGCACAGGCCAAAGTTACCACAGCGATATGCTTGCAGTACGAGTGGGAGATGATGTTGGTTCTACAATAAGGCCACTGCCTGGCTAAGAGTGGGTAGGGTAATACAACTGTGCTACCACGCAGCACCACGGCCAGGACAATCTGGGCCACCATGCGGTTGGTCAGGATGGTGGAATGTCTCAGGGGATGGCAGATGGCCACATAGCGATCCACAGCCATGGCCACCAAGATCCCAGATTCCACCACTGTGAAGCAGTGAATGAAGTACATCTGGGTGAGGCAGGCATTGAAACTGGTCTCTGTGGAATTGAACCAGAAGATACTCAGTGTTTTGGGCATGATGGACGTAGACAAGACCAGATCGTTGATGGCCAGCATGCAGAGGAAATAGTGCATAGGCCTATGGAGGCTCGGCTCCGTGGCAATGATGAAGAGGATGGTGAAGTTCCCTAAGATAGCTATGACATACATGGCGCAGAAGGGGATGGAGATCCAGACATGGGCTGCCTCACACCTCGAGGCCAGAAATGCCCAGAAGGATGAAGGTGGAGGGGTTGGTGAAGTCAGTTGTGTTGGCTTCTGACATGGAGTAGGAAAGATGGTGTCCAACTCTGTGGGAGAATGTTGCCCCAACTTGTACCGTGTGCTCCTGTGAGTTCTTGTATTTGTCCAGGGCCTACGGTGAAGGTTTCAGTACAAATGCCTGAAAGGAGAAACAATGGAAATATGAGACACTGCATGTACTTGTCTTGTGCGTGAAGCAGATCGGTCATTCTTCATGCCTGGAAAAAAGGCACTTTTCTTCTCAGAGATGAATTCTGACCCACTGACCATAGGAAAGCATACATGATGGTTCTCCCAGTCTCAGGGGTTCCAACACAGTTCTGTGTGGTAAACCTCAATAGGCATGGAAGGAAACAGGAGTGTGGATAATGGCTCTCAGCATTTCTTACTGCAATTAAATCCAGGACGGAAAATCCACACTGTACAGGTTTTCCCCAGTCAACTGGTTGCTCAAAATCTGTGAGTGGAAAATGACCTAATCTTTGCTGAGACGTGTGCTGGAGGAAACCTCCCAACGTCAGGGAGCATCACAGATAGCAGCTCCGTGGGAAGACCCACTTATTTGCATCAGTGGCCAAAACATAGACAATGTTCGAATGACTAAGGAATAGGATGAAGAATAACTTGCTCAGATTATAAACTCAGCGCCGTCCAACCAATCTCTGTAAAGCATATAGCCGATAAAAAGAGGGTTTCCCGGGGAGGCTATGAGATTGGGGAAGATTATTCTTTGGAGACAGGCTGAAAATTCTGGGACTACTTAGCTTAGGGTACATCAACACTTAACCGCTATTGCTACCCCACGTTGTTACAAGCTGTCCATTATTTCAAAATATTTTTTGAAATATTTTTTGAAATAATGGGCGTGCTATTTCAGCATTCTAGTAACCCTCATTCCACGAGGGTTAAGAGATGTCTCAAAATAGTGTGTTATTTCAAAATTTGATGCTGTGTAGATGTGCCATAATTTGAAATAGCCTATTTCAAATTTCAGGCTACCCCACGTTGTTACAAGCTGTCCATTATTTCAAAATATTTTTTGAAATATTTTTTGAAATAATGGGCGTGCTATTTCAGCATTCTAGTAACCCTCATTCCACGAGGGTTAAGAGATGTCTCAAAATAGTGTGTTATTTCAAAATTTGATGCTGTGTAGATGTGCCATAATTTGAAATAGCCTATTTCAAATTTCAGTCAAAATAAGATACTCAAATTGTGTAACACAAATTGTGTACCTTATTTTGAGTTTAGGGTGCTGTGCAGATACACCCTTACAGAAAAGTCAAACAAAGGTGCATATGACAGAGGAGTGGGAAATAAAGAATCAAACTTATTACATTCAAATGGAGAAGGCAAGAACAGCTCCCAAACAGCAGTATGTATAGTACTGCAAAAGTGCTAATTCCCTAAAGCTGAGGCAAATGGTATTGGTATTGGGAGGAAACATTTAGACAGAAAAATGGGAGAGAAAATTGTGAATTCTTTAGAATTTATTAGATAGCTAAAAGCCATGATTCCACGGTGATAAGGGAAAAATTCATGCTTGGCAGAGCTACATATCCCAAAAAGGTTCCAGAGAGGTAGGTCTGTGAGTCTGATTCAACAAAAACATCAAGGAATTTGGTGGCACTCAGAAAAAGGTGGTTAAGAAATGTCTTAAGCACAAAAGAAATCCTGGAAAAGAGTTAGACCAGTTATAAGACGGAAAAAGGAAACTTGTGAATGTTGCAGAAAAGGTAGATGTTTTCAAGAATACGTTTGTTCTGCTTTTGGAAGAAGCAATTAGAGACACTCCTATCACATTAGCTGGTGAGGGCAAACGGACTGGAAAATATTTCAAGGAGGATGTAAAAAAGTAACTATAGTAGAACTTTTCATTGTTGAAGGAATGTGCACAGATACAAAAACTACTTAAATTCCTCTCAGGCATTTGATTCAGTGTTGGGAAATATAATTATTAAAATGAACACTGACAATATCAATAGAGCACATGAAAAATGGGCTAAAAGGGGTCTAAATGCCACGTTTCAGAAAGCAGTTGTCGACAGGTCATTGTCATGGACTGGGGCTCATTGTGGCATTCCATTCTAGGCTATCTGGGTATGTCTACACTACCCCACTAGTTCGAACTAGTGGGGGTAATGTAGTCATCCGCAGTGGCAAATGAAGCCCGGGATTTGAATTTCCCGGGCTTCATTTGCCACTGCGGATGACTACATTACCTCCGCTAGTTCGAACTAGCGGAGGTAATGTAGTCATCCGCAGTGGCAAATGAAGCCCGGGATTTGAATTTCCCGGGCTTCATTTGCCACTGCGGATGACTACATTACCTCCGCTAGTTCGAACTAGCGGAGGTAATGTAGTCATCCGCAGTGGCAAATGAAGCCCGGGATTTGAATTTCCCGGGCTTCATTTGCCACTGCGGATGACTACATTACCTCCGCTAGTTCGAACTAGCGGAGGTAATGTAGTCATCCGCAGTGGCAAATGAAGCCCGGGATTTGAATTTCCCGGGCTTCATTTGCCACTGCGGATGACTACATTACCTCCGCTAGTTCGAACTAGCGGGGTAGTATAGACATACCCTAAGATAGGCAATATTTTCATCAATTATCTAGAAGCAAACAGAAAATCATTACAGAAAAAAATTGTGGTTGGCCGAAATATTGGCAGAGGGGTTAAAATGAGGGCACCAAGGCAAGGACATTGATTGTCCTGGAGCATATAATAAGCTGGGCCCAAATAAACAAAATCTTTTGGAACAGTCAGATCTAAAGCTATTCTCTTGGAACCGAGGAATACACAAATAACTCACCATGTAGGACATTTCATTGGGGTATGCAGGGACCTTAAAACAGACATAGGGGTTGCTGTGGATAATCAGCTGATGTTGAGCTTCCAGTGTGATGCTGTGGACAAAAGGGCTGATGGGCTCTTTGGATGCATAAATGGGAGAGTGGGGAGCTAGAAGAGGGGAAGGATTTTACGTATTATTGAATCACAGAGCTGGAAGAGACCTCAGGAGGTCATCAAGTCCAGCCCACTGCCCAAGGAAGGACCAATCCCAACTCAATCACCCCAGCCATGACTTTGTCAAGCCAAGACTTAAAAACCTTTAGGGATGGAGATTTCACCCCCTCCCTAGGTAACCCATTCCAGTGCTTCACCAGTGCTGGTGTGGCACATCAGTGTAAGCACTACTTACATCGATGCCAGGGCTTCTCCCATCAGTGTGGGTAATTCATTTCCATGAGAGATGGTAGCCGGGATGATGGAAGAATTCTTCTGTTGCCCTCATGCTGCCTATACAGGGGTTGCCTTCCCATAGCTACACCTCTCTGGGGTGTGGATTTATTAGCTATTGGGAAAAAAGAAAATGCAGTTTGGGGTTGCCTTATCCAAGGCATTGCCTGCAAGCCACAGGAGATGACAATACTGCTATACTTGGCACTGATTGGGCCTCAGCTCGTCCTTTGTATCTAATATGGGTTGCCCATGTATAGGAAGGATGCAGCAAACCTGGAAAAAATTCCAGAGGTATGAGACAAAGATGATCCAAGGATGGATCACAAGGCGCACAAGCAGAGGCTGAAGAAATCGTGTATATTTGGTTTGAAAAGAGGAAACAGAAAGGGAACAAGACAGCAGCAGTGGCGGATTTAGAGTTAATAGGGTCCTGTACTCAGTTTCATTTTGGGGGGGTCCCAGGGATCCAGCCATGAAAAAGAACATTTCCTCCTCCTCTCCTCCCATTTTTCATTTTTTTCTCTTCATTCTCCTCCTATCACAAGTAATGAAGTAAATGAAAATAAAGTGAGGGACCTTAGTTATTTGTGTAATTTATCTTTTTTTTTCACAGACCAATTGAAAATTGCTGAGGGTCTCGGTGGACCCCTTCCTGATCTTTCCGAATATTTTTTGTACTATTAGCTCACTATTGTAAAGTGCTTTGTATATGAGCACTTTATAAAAAAAAAAAAACATAACCTTTCTCAGACTGGCTGAATGGATTTCTCAGAGCACAGTTTGGGTACATCTAAACTACATGCCTCCGTCGACGGAGGCATGTAGATTAGCCAGATCGGCAGAGGGAAATGAAGCTGCGATTAAAATAATCGCGGCTTCATTTCCCTCTGCCGATCTGGCTAATCTACATGCCTCCGTCGACGGAGGCATGTAGATTAGCCAGATCGGCAGAGGGAAATGAAGCTGCGATTAAAATAATCGCGGCTTCATTTCCCTCTGCCGATCTGGCTAATCTACATGCCTCCGTCGACGGAGGCATGTAGATTAGCCAGATCGGCAGAGGGAAATGAAGCTGCGATTAAAATAATCGCGGCTTCATTTCCCTCTGCCGATCTGGCTAATCTACATGCCTCCGTCGACGGAGGCATGTAGATTAGCCAGATCGGCAGAGGGAAATGAAGCTGCGATTAAAATAATCGCGGCTTCATTTCCCTCTGCCGATCTGGCTAATCTACATGCCTCCGTCGACGGAGGCATGTAGTCTAGACACACCCTTTGAGACCTTCGTCTAGATGGAAGCTTGAACATGCATTAAGCCAACATGAAAAATGTGTACAAATAAAATGTAAAGCTGACACATGTGTGGAAAAAATAAAAGTTGACTTCCTCTAAAGAAACATGTTCATTTAAAAAAAATCCAGCTGGCTCCCTTTCTACACTTTTTCTTTACAAAATCGTCAATTAAGTCATTCTTATATTTTGTAAAGAGGCGCTTTCAGTGGTCAATATTGCTGAAATTGTCCAAGGTTCTCCCCTCTTCTCTTGCTCCCCCCATACCTCCCTCCACACAAAGCTGCTGTCCCCTGCTGGGAGACAGGGGGATTGCTAGACTCAGTGCTGGACTGTCAGGCACTGGGGGCCCTGTGTCATTGGAGGGTGGGGACATGTCAGGGCACGGTATGTTTAATTGTAAATCTGCCCCTGGCCAGCAGTAGTCACACACACGACAGGTCGGCATGCAGAAAAATGTTATTCCTTACCACAGTTGGAGGGACAGGAGTGAGTGGGATCCAAGTACAGAGCAGAGAGGAGATCTAGGGGAAAATTTAGATGAGATCTCAGGGAAGATTTTCCAATGGTAAGAACAGAACAAAAATGGAATGGACACCTTCGGAGGTCATAGAGGTTATTCATTGATGCTTTCCCATGGGAGGCTGGACAGCATCTGCCGTGGAGGGTTTAGCTACAATGACGCCTGCCCGTGCCGTCCCTTCTAACTCTGTTGTTCCACGTTTCTCTAATGAAAAATCCAATTCCAGACCAGCCCCTAGTCAAACACAAGCTATGGAACTCAATACCCCGATAGTGAGGTGAAATTGAATATCCTGTGTCATACTGGAATTCAGACTGGAAAATGCCCTTCGGGCCCTAAACCCTGTGAAGCTATGAATAAAGTAAATAGAGAGGGCATTTCCATTGGCTTTCTCACAGAACACAGGCGCTCCGGTGCAGCTCCTTGTCTCAGACGTAATGAGGGCAAAGAGCTTAGCTGAGTGGGATTCACAAGGGGCGTTGCTATTGTAGATATTGCTGGTGGCACCGCCTTTAATTAAGACACAGACACCTTCTCTAAGGACAACTCGTTTTCAGTGCAAAAGGGCCCCAGGCTGTTTAATGGCTGTGCAGAGCAGAAAGGAAAACAGACCTTGTTTCTGTCCCGTTATGCCCATGTCGCACTGGGTTTGTCAAGCAGGTGAGCTCCTCAGCACGAGATGGGTACCTGTGAATTCTGAGAGGGACGTGTCTTCCCTGGGACTCCCCTTCAGATAGTTGTATCCCACACCTGTCTCACCCCAGCATCTGCAGCAGCCTCCCACGCCGGGAACAGACATGGCATGTGCACCGTTGCTAATATAGCTCCATGCAATCGCTGGGGGATTTGCTCAGCCCCCAGGGGAAACACGACATATGGATGTAACCAGGCTGGAGACCAGATGCACAGTACCCAATGTCTCTCTTTCCATGTCTTTGCTTTGGGATTCTTTTCCCAGCTTTAGAAGTAAACAATAATTAAGGGAGGAGATTTCTTGAGCTCTGTGTTGAGTCAAAGAGGAATGGGCTGCTCTGTGTGTATGTGTATGTTTAAATATTAGAGTTAAACAGTACGAAAATTAGGGACGATGGATTGTTCTCCATGGGGTCTGATTCTCTATAAGGGCATGTCTACACAGCAGACTCCTTTTTTACACCACAAATACATTATTTTGGGTAAAAATATAAAATAGCTTTATTAAGCCTATAAGGTTAGATTTCTAAGAGATTCTAAGTAACAGTGAACAGATCAAAGTTGGAAATGATCAGAAATAAACAAAACCCAAATCTAAGTTCTACACCCTATATAGGAACTCAAGCCAGCCGGGTCTCACCCTTTGGAACAAACAGTCCACCAATCTCGCTTACAAACCCCTAGAAATCCCTTCCGTCCAGCACCACAGCCCCAAATCAGCTCTTGCTCCTAAATTGTGTTATGGTGTTGAGTTGTGGGGGAGTTACACCAAACAATGATGTCTCTTCCCCCATTGTAGCTTTTGTCTCGTTGAGGGAATTTCATTTTTCCAAGCAAAGCCCCCAGCACGAAACACATGATGGTGAGCTCCTTCTTTAGTGGTAGAAATGTAGCCGTGTTAGTCTGGTGCAGCTGAAACAAAAAACAGGACTCTACAGCACTATAAAGACTTACAAGATGGTTTAATAGGTGGTGAGCTTTCGTGGGCCAGACCCACTTCCTCAGATCAAATAGTGGAAGAAAATTGTCACAACCATATATACCACAGGTTACAATTAAAAAAATGAACACATCTGAAAAGGACAAATCAAATTTCAGAACAGAAGGGGGATGGAGGAAAGTAAGGGAGGGAGGTAAATGTCTGTGAGCTAATGATATTAGAGGTGATACTTGGGGAAGCTATCTTTGTAATGGGTAAGATAATTAGCGCCTTTATTCAAATTTGAGCGTAAAGTGTCGAATTTAAGCATGAATGACAGTTCAGAGGATTCTCTTTCAAGTGCAGTCTTAAAAGGTCTTTGAAGCAGGATGCAGGTAATCAAGTCATTGAGACAATGTCCTTTCTGGTTGAAATGGCAAGAAACTGATTTTTCTTTGTGATCCTGTCTGATATGTTTTGTGGGCATTGATCCTTTGGCGAAGTGTCTGAGACGTTTGTCCAATGTACATAGCAGACGGACACTTTCGGTACATGATAGCATAAATTATATTTCTGGATGTGCAGGAATATGTGTTCTTGATCTTATAACTCACTTGGTTGGGTCCAATAATGGTATCAGCAGAGTGAATATGCGGACAAAGCTGCAATGGGGTTTGTTGCAAGGGAAGGTACCAGGGTTGGTATTAGTGTGGTATATCCTGTGGTTGCTGGTAAGAATCATCTTGAGGTTAGGTGGTTGTCTATAGGAGACTATGGGTCTGTTTCCCAGAGCCTCTTGGAGTTTAGTATCCTGTTCCAGTATAGGCTGTAGTTTATTGATAATGTGTAGGACAAGTTGGGGGCTGACGGTGATGACAAGTGGTGTTCTACTGTTGGTTTTCTTGGGTCTGTCTTGAAGTAGCTGCTTTCTAGGTATTCGTCTGGCTCTTTCAATTTGCTTTTTTATTTCTCTGGGTGGGTAGCTGAGGTTTATAAATGCTTGGTAGAGATCCTGAAGTTTCTGGTCTCTGTCAGTGGGATTAGAGCAGATGCAGTTGCATCGAAGGGCTTGGCTATAGATGATGGATCATATGGTGTGTTCTTGATGGGAGCTGGATGCATGTAGGTAACTGTATGAGTCGGTGGGTTTTCTGTAGAGAGTGGTGTCTAATTTTCCATTGGAGATTTCTACTGTTGTGTCCAGGAAATGGATCTCTCGTGTAGAGTGATCCAGGCTGAGATTGATGGTGGGGTGTAGGTTGTTAAAATCTCTGTGGAATATCTCCAGTGTTTCTTGGCCATGCGTCCAAATCATAAAGATGTCATCGATGTAGTGTAAGTAGAGAAGGGGTAAAAGGGAACGGGAGTTGAGGAAACATTGTTCTAGGTCAGTCATAAAGATATTAGCATACTGTGGGGCCATGCGTGTATCCATGGCTGTTAAAGATGTTAGCATACTGTGGGGCCATGCGTGTACCCATGGCTGTGCCGCTGATCTGGAGGTATAAGTTGTTCTCAAACTGGAAATAATTGTGGGTGAGAACAAAGTTACATTGGTCTGCTATCAGATTGGCAGTAGTGTCCTCTGGGATAGTGTTTCTAATTGCTTGTAATCCGTCTTCATGTGGGATGTTGGTGTATAGAGCTTCTTCATACATGGTGGCAAAGATGGTGTTATTGGGGAGGTTATCAATGTTTTGTAGTTTCTTTAGGAAGTCAGTAGTATCTCAGAGATAGCTGGGGGTGTTGGTTGCGTAGGGTTTGAGAAGAGAGTCTACATAGCTGGATAAACCAGTAGTGAGTATGCCAATAAAAGAGATGATGGGAAGTCCGGAGTGTCCAGGTTTATGGATTTTGGGAAGCAGATAGAACAATCCTGGTCGGGGGTCAGAGGGTGATTATGTGTGGATTTGTTCCCGAGTAGCTGTAGGGAGGCTTTTAAGGAGACAGTGTAGTTTCCTTTGGTATTCCAAGGTGGGATCAGAGGAGACAGTTTTGTAAAACGTGGTGTTGGAGAGTTGTCTGGTTGCCTCCTGGTTATAGTCGGCCTTATTCATAATGACCACAGCACCCCCTTTGTCAGCTGGTTAGATTATAATGTCCAGGTTGCTTTGGAGATTCTGGATGGCATGGTGTTCAGCGCGGCTGAGCTTGTGTGTCGCTTGTTGTCGTTTGTGAATAATGTCAGTATGTGTGTTGTTTCGGAAACTTTGTATATAGAAATCCAGATTGGAATTCCGACCATCAGAGGGAGTCCATATGGAATTATTTTTCCTTTGGTGTTGATAGGGGGGATCTGGTAGGTCAGATTGATGTTCATTGGTGGTTTGGAAATATTCTTGGAGGCGGAGAGGGAAAAAAAAGCCTCAAGGTCACCGCAAAATTGTATCCAGTTTTTGGGGGACGAAGGGCAGAAAGAGAGAGCCCAGGATAAGACAGACTCTTCTGCTGGATTGAGTTTGTAGGTGGAGAGGTTAACAATATTATTCGGTGGGTTGGGGTAGTTGCTGTTGTAGCCTGTGGTGTGGAGCAGTTTAGAAAGTTTTTCCGTGAAAAGCATTTGCGGAAAAGAGCATCTAGACTGGCATGGATGCTTTTCCGCAAAAGCACTTTTTGTGGAAAAGCGTCCACACCAATCTAGACAGAGTTTTGCACAAGAAAGCCCCAATCGAACATTTTCGCCATCGGGGCTTTTTTGCGCAAAACAGTTTTCAGCTGTCTACGCTGGCCCTTTTGCACAAAAGCATTTCCGGAAAAGGGCTTTTGCCCAAACAGGAGCAGCTTAGTATTTGTGCAAGAAGCACTGATTTCAGACAGTAGAGTCAGTGCTTTTGTGCAAATTCAAGTGGCCACTGTAGACAGCTGGCAAGTTTTTCTTGCCAGTCTAGACAAAGCCGTTGTGTTTTCAATGCCTCCCTGAACCTGAACATGTGGTTAGTTGCTGGTTTTCTTTTCCTATCACTGTCTCCTTCAAAAGGGATCTCCATCGAAGTTCATCTCTGAATGTCAGAGTCTGGTGAAATTAGGATATCAGGGGACTTTGGGTGGTGGCTGGCCCAATGTGTGTCTGATTCCCAACCCCAGAGTTATGGTCATGAGAAAAATTCACCCCACCATTTTGGTCTTTCCCTGAAATTCCCACTCCAAGTACTGAGACCTTCGTTCCCCCTTTCCTAGAGAGCTCTGATCCATGCACTCTGGGCTAAGAGGTGGGTCTTCTCCCAGTAGCTCATTCAGAGCTGTGTTCTGTGTCTTATCAGTCAAGGGAATGTTCTCCTCCCCTCTGTGAGGACTGTCACCCCACCCCTGGAGCCAGTCATCCTCCCAGTACTATACGGGGGATGAACGAGACTCTTACTCTCTCCTTCAGTGGTTCCTGGGACCTTCCCCCTTTCCTCTGGGGTCCCAGCAGAATGTTGCCCCTCGGTTAATGTACACATTAGCCAACAGCACGAGGAATTTGTCTCCTCCTCTTCAGACAGCAGGTCACCTTCCTGCATGCTACTCTTGGTTCCCACAGAAATGTCTGCCTTGTATCGTCTCAACCAGGGCATCCTCTGCCATTAATGCTGGCAGCCTCATGTGCTTCATGCCTGCTTCTGCAGAGGTTGGAAAAAAATCATCAAGTCCAGCCACTTATCCAAAGCAGGACCGATCTCAGGTTTTCAAGACCTTTCAGGACAGAAAGACATAGAGTAATAGCCTCATCCTCTCTTTATCAACAGTTACCAACTAGAAGATGCTATGCATACAATGCTGACCACTCCCCAAAAGGCAGATGATGTGTTCCTGCTGGGTTCTGCACTGTGTGGTTGGCAGGGTATTGAGCCTGAAAGCTCTGATCTTGGGGCTGCATCCTAATCTGGATCTGAAAGAACTTCCTTGGGGATCCCAGCTTATACCATGAAACCTGAATCAACTATGCAAAGTATTCCGGGATTGGAACTCCAGGGGATGTTTAACACAGCAATCTGTTACCTGGAATTCTCAGAGTCCCCAGGCGTGAATCCTAGAATACTGGAATTCTAAATCTGGGAGGGACCTTGAGGGGTCAATAAGTCCAGTCCCCTGCCCTCAAGGCAGGACAAAGTACCATCCAGATCATCACTAATAAATGTCTATCCAACCTGCTCTTAAATATCTCCCTAAGCAATTTATTCCAGTGTTTAACCATCCTGGCAGTTAGGAAGTTTATCCCGATAGCCAACCTAAACATCCCTTGCTGCAAGTTAAGTCCATTTCTTCCTGTCCTATCATCAGAGGCCAAGGAGAACCAATTTTTTCCCTCCTCCTTTTATCACCCTTTTAGATACTTGAAAACTGCTCTCATGGCCCCTCTCAGTCTTCTCTTTTCCAAACCAAATGTACCCAGTTCTTTCAGTCTTCCTCCTCTTCCTCATTGCTCATGTTTTCTAGACATTTGATCATTTTTGTTGTTCCTCTCTGGACTTTCTCCAATTCATCCACAAATTTCCTGAAACGTGGTGCCCAGAACTGGATAGGATACTCCAAATGGGGTCTAATCAGCAAAGAGAAGAGCAGAAGAATGTCTTATCGTGTCTTACTCACAGCACTCCCGTTACTGCAACCCAGTTAAGCTACAACTCTGTTAAAGGAAAGTAAGAATTTTCTTATTTAGTACTGGAGTTTATTAGATTTAAGTGCACGTTGATATAAGCAATAGGTGTAGAACACTCCAGATATCCAAAATCTGAAATAGGACCGAGTATTTAAGAGCAGGTTCAAAATGCCTAGTCACTCAGCTGTTGGGGAGAAGGTGTCAAGAAAAAATGTCTCTCAAAGTGGATTCAGAGGAATGCCCGAATGCACACAGTACACTTTCCTTCAGAGAACTACAGTATCAGCCGTTGAACTGGATGTCGGGGAAAGGCTGAGAGAGATGTTGTGTGGAGTCGGCGGCTGAGGGGTGATGTTGAAAGAAAACAGGAGAAAGAATGGAGGAAAGGAGTGAGCAGTATCTGGTGATGAAGAGGTGACAAGTTAGGTGGAACTTCGTGTGGTGGAAGTTCAGAGTCTGAGAAACTCCACACACCTGACTAAGGACACCGTAGATGGATGCAGAGATGGGCTTTCCCCACCCCATCATGCAGGGTTAATGTTGGTGACCCCCAGATGAGAGGACTTACTGCAGGTATATTTCCCCACTTTCTCACGAAGCTCTTTGGTTTTGGCCCCATAAATGATGGGGTTGAGCACGGGGGTCAGTAGGTAAAAGAGGTTGGCCAAGATGATGTGAACGTAGGGAGCAATAGCCTGACCGAACCGGTGTGTGAGACTGGAGAAGAGGAAAACAGGATAAGACGTCAGCATCACGCAGAGGTGGGCTGTGCAAGTGTTGAGGGTTTTTTGGGGAGCTTTCTTGGAGGAGATTCTGAGGACGGCCCGGATGATGAGACCGTAGGACAGAGCTATGAGTGTCAGGTCTAACCCAATAACAAGAAACACTATCACCAAAGCGTACATACTGTTCACTGTGATGTCCCCACATGACACCTTTGCTACTGCTATGTGGTCACAGTACGTGCTGGGGATAACGCGGTTGGCACAGAATGGCAGTCTGCTCAGGAGCAGGGGCAGAGGCAGAACGAGGAAAAGAGCTCTTAGCAACCCCACTAGCCCCAGCTTAGCTACCCGTGTGAGGGTGAGGATGGTGGGGTATCTCAGAGGGTTACATATGGCCACGTAGCGATCAAAGGCCATTAGCACCAGGACGGCCGAGTGCATTGCAACACACCCATGAAGGATAAACAGCTGGGTGAAGCAGCCAGCCATAGTAATGTCTTTCAAATTGAACCAAAATATACACAGGGCCTTGGGCAAAACACAGGAAGATGTGACGATGTCTGTGAGGGCCAGCATGCAGAGCAGCAGGTACATCGGCTTGTGCAGCGTCTGCTCTTTGCCGACCACAAACAGAACCGTAAGATTTCCAAAAAGGCCAGAAATGTAGAACATAGAAAAGGGGATGGAAATCCAGACATGAACAGCCTCCAGGCCAGGGACACCCGCTAGGATGAATGTTAAAGGGTCAGAGAGGGTGACGTTGAAAGCTGCCATGAGGTGGTCGGTGCATCAGTCATGCTCAGGGCTGTGCAAGGCACCTGTGAAGAAAAGAAACAGAGCCAGAGGATTATGCACTTGATATCAAGCCATACCCGAAACATTGGATATTTATTAACCATCTAGAAAAGTGAGTGAGTAGTACAGTGCCAAATTTTGCAGATGGAACCAGATTATTTAGTGCACACTGGAGTCCAGAGAAGTTCCCAGAGGAAGCTAACCAAGCCTGGGGAATGGGCAGGATGTTGGCTGGTAAACTTTGATGTCAGTAACTTCAACATATATGTCCATTGGAGAGCGAAATGTTTGAGCACCTCACACACCTGCATGAGAGGGAGCTGGGCACCACGGCACACAGCTCTGGGACACCCTGCTCACAGAGCAAGCAGGGACAGAAACTAAGGTAAACATCTGGATCCAGCAGGACTAGGATGGAGAATTCTACCCGTAACTCAAGGTCTTAGAGCAAGGAACCCAATGTTTCCCCCTTCTCCGGCCTCCTCTGTGTAACACTGGGCCCCTTCTCATGGGCCCCTTCTCATATTCCGTAGCTGATGTCGAGGTTATTTTGAAATAAAGCACTATTCTGACAAGTCCCTCAACCCTCGTGGAATGAGGGTTTCAGGGACGCTGGAAGAGTGCACCTGTTATTCCAAAATATATCCAGCTGCCGGACCCCACAGTGAGAGCTCAGATAAATATCTCCTCCAGCTCAGTGAAATTCAGTGATTTGTAGCCTAATTAGCTCTGCCCGTTCTCACTTATTTCCATTTAAATTCTACTGCTTCTACTTACAGTCACTTTTATTTTGTATCAAATCCAGAGAAAATACCTGGGAAAGCAACCACTGTGCACATTCCCCCTTCATTGGTAGAGGGGTCTTACCTAATTCTTTGGGGTTTGATCCCTTTTCGGGAGGGGTATCCCAGGAAGCTGGGCCCTAAACTGTACTCTCCCTGGATGGGAAGAGGTTTAATGTGTGTAGTGCTTCTTGGGGGTGAGGGCAGGGATCTCAGCTCAGGGCCTTGGCTGGGGCACACCAGGGAACTGGCCCAGCAGGACCAGACGGTAAGAAGCCCCAGAGAGCAGGAAGACGAGGCACCCCCAAGGGGTTTTCTGTGACCGCACCCTGTCACAGATCTGTCCTAGATGTCTGTCCATCCTGTTCTTAGATATCGCCAGTGATGGAGAGTCCACAACCTCCCTAGGAAATTTATTCCAGTGTTTAACCACCCTGACAGGTAGGAAATTTTTCCTAATGTCTAACCTCAACCTTCCTTACTGCAATCTTTGGTGTTTATCATCCTCTCCAGATCCTGAGATGCAGGGAACCAGAGAGGAGAGCCCCTCTCCTGCCCTAAAATCAACTGTTCTCCTGATTATCCTGAGCTCTGAAATCTGTGAGTTTGACATTTCAGCAGCTCTTCTGTCCGTTCTAATTTGGTCCAAATAAGTTCACCCCTGGGAGGACTCCTGTGGATGGGCCCTGCGGCTCCTGTCCGGTGTAAATCAGGCCCTTTATTAAAGTCCCTACATGTTGACTCAGGATGAACTCCTGTCTGTGTTCAGAGTTTTGCCACCGATATTTACAGGACCCAGATTCACTCTGAAGTTTTAAGTCTTGGCTTTGAGCTGCAAATCTCCCGCCTTCGGGTCTGGCTACAGCGAGTGCTATTCTGTTCACAGAGTGAAAGGGAGCCAAGAAACTCCCCAGTTTATGTGGTGTTCCAAGACCAGCTTTGGAATGTGGGGATTTCAAAAGACATGGGCCCCGATTTTGTTGTCAGGGAGGCCAGACTATTTTGGAGTGACCTCAGGAAGGCAGAATGGGGGAGCAGATTCTGGCCAGTATGGGACTCAGGTGAACCCCACTTGTTAGAACAGAGACCCACTGCTGAGGCTCTGGCTGGACCATCTAACAGTGCAGCACCCTGCCTGACTTGGAAAACTGAAGGAAAAACCACACGGCTCCAAAAGGAAGCTCCGGGGTAATACAGAGAGACACAAGAGGAGATAAAATAACTGATCTTAAAAGAAAAGTTTTATCTAAGCAATTTCCAGTACATTTGCCGTTCTATTTTTCCCAGCTGTTTCTGACAAAACTAAACAGTTATAGGCTCTATCCTGGTGAATTCCTGCCCGGGCGGTTCTTGACTTGAACCCTGGAACTCTTTCTCAGCCCGCACCACTGCCATTAAAGCAGGAACAAGTAACTCACCACAAACCTGCTCACACGAGAGAAGAAACCTCCATCCTGTGACGGAGAGGCAGAGCTCCGAGAATCAGCGTGTGAGTCTAACATGTCTGACACTCCCCTGCTGGACAGCCACCTTTATGATTTCCCTGCACAATCCCTGTGGACTCTTAGGTTGGCCAGGCTCCCAGACAATTCCCTCAGCTCTGTGAGCAGCGGGAAGAGCAGAAAATAGATCCTGGACAACTGCAGCCTGAGAGCTTCCTCTAGGAGGGAGGAAATGATGAGCTGATACCAGGGGCTCATATGGTCAGAGCCAACAGAGTTTCCAAATCCAGTCAGCTTAGCCAATAACAGTGGCTTCCCCTCCCCCACACACCACTCTGTGTATGATGCCGCCATCTGCACTATGTGTGGGATTGATGCCAGAAGCTATGGGAATCAGAATCATAGAATCCTAGGACTGGAAGGGACCTCGAGAGGTCATCGAGTCCAGCCCCCTGGCCTCGTGGCAGGACCCAGTGCTGTCTAGATCATCCCTGATGGACATTTATCTAACCTGCTCTTAAACATCTCCAGGGATGGAGATTACACAACGTCCCCACGCAATTTATTCCAGTGTTTAACCACCCTGACAGGTAGGAACTTTTTTCCTAATGTCCAACCTAAACCTCCCTTGCTGCAGTTTAAGCCCATTGCTTCTTGTTCTATCCTCAGAGGCCAGGAAGAACAAATTTTCTCCCTCCTCCTTGTGACACCCTCTCAGATACCTAAAAACCGCTCTCATGTCCCCTCTCAATCTTCTCTTTTTCAAACTAAACAAGCCCAATTCTTTCAGCCTTCCTTCATAGGTCATGTTCTCTAGACTCTTAATCATTCTTGTTGCTCTTCTCTGATCCGTCTCCAATTTCTCCACATCCTTCTTGAAACGTGGTGCCCAGAACTGGACACAACACTCCAACTGAGGCCTAATCAGCGCAAAGTCGAGTGGAAGAATGACTTCTCGTGTCTTGCTCACAACACACCTGTTAATGCATACTAGAAGCATGTTTGCTTTTTTTGCAACAGCGTCACACTGTTCACTCATATTTAGTTCGTAAATCCACTATAATCCCTTTCTGCTGTACTCCTTTCTAGATAGTCGCTTCCCATTCTGTATGGGAACAAAACCATTTTTGGTTCATTGTAACACCCCACCACTGCATATGGATGATGCCGTTGTAACATAAAGTCCATTTGCCTCTAAAAAGTCACCGACACCCTGTTGTGGGCAAACAACATGATGAATTGATTCAAGCTACAACCTTTGTCCTTCCTGTTCTTTCCCTTTGGGGCACCTGGCATTGGCCAATGTCAGAACAGAGGATTCCGGAGCTAGATGGGCCATTGGTCTTACCCATTCTGATATTCTTATATACATACCAGTAGTATCTCTGATTCTCCTGAATTCATCTATATACACACCCATCCAATAGCAGACATGCAACCCAGCAGTAATGACGGGTCCAGCTTTCCACAGAGTTAGTGATTAAGTACGAATATACATGAAAATGTTACAACTAACCAGTGTCCCTTAAGTGACTTGTGACAGGATGTCAGAGCATGATAGTGTTAGAGCTGAGTGGGTCTAATGTTTATTTAAGTTTCTTTTATCTATGTGTTAGATACAGCGCTCCCGATAGCTAATGGCTAACTTATATGTCAAAAAACCCTCCCAAAATAAACAGACAAAAAACTAAAAACTTTTAGCAGCCTAAGTAGACATTGGAAACACAATCAAAGTCTATCCCATACCATCTGAAATGACTCCCTTACAGATGGAGGCTGTTGCATGGGGCATATGGAGGTGATCTAGCGAGTGACAAGGGGAGGGGAAGAGAGCAACAGGAGGATTTGGGGCAGAAGAGGCAGAGCAGGGAGGGACCGACATAGAAGAGACGTGAGAGGTGAGAATACTGTGTACAGATGTGGTCTCCTCACCTAAAAAAAGATATTTTGGCCTTGGAAAGGGTTCAGAAAAGGGTAACTAAAATGATTAGGGGTTTGGAATGAGTCCCATCTGAGGAGAGGTTAAAGAGACTGGGACTTTTCTGGTTAGAAAAGAGGAGAATGAGTGGGGATATTACAGAGGTCTATTAAATCATGAGTGGGGTGGAGAGGGCGGATAAAGAAAAGTTATTTATTAGTTCCCTAAATAGAAGAACTACAGGACACCAATGAAATTAATGGGTAGCTAGTTTAAAACTAATAAAAGAAAGTTCTTCTTCACACAGCATGTTGTCAACCTGTGGAACTCCTTGCCAGAGGAGGCTGTGAAGGCTAGGACTATAACAGAGTTTAAAGAGAAGCTGGATAATTTCATGGAGGTTAGGTCCATAAAAGGCTATTATCCACGGGATAGAAATAGTGTCCCTGGCCTCTGTTTGTGGAAGGCTGGAGATGGATGGAATGAGACAAATGGCTTGGTCATTGTCTGCAGTCCATTCCCTCTGGGGTAGCTGGTGTTGGCCGCTGTCGGTAGACAGGCTACTGGGCTAGATGGACCTTTGGTCTGACCCAGTACATTCTTATGTTCTTATGTAGGTCTGGAGGGTCTAGTTTTAAGAAGTTGGCAACTCAATGAACTGTTCATAGATGGTCTGGTTGCTAGAAGACAGCAGTGCGGTGTCCTGACAGGTACCTTGGTCTGTCCATTCAGCTGCATGATTTCCGTTCAGCTGCATGCCGGCCCCTCAAATATTGAGTCAGTGCTGCACAGATGGCTGATTGATTAGACTCCAAAGAGGCGCAGAAAGACCCCCAA